CCCCCGCGTGGTCCACGGGGAGAGGGCGTGAGGCCCCCGAGGTCCCGGTGCGCAGCTGGGGCCCGGCGACGAGGGCGCTGGACCCTTTCAGCCCGCTGACCTCCGGGCGCGGCCCAGCTCCCGCCCAGCCGTCTCTGCGGGCCCCGAGCTGCCCCGCGGTTCCCCCGCGCCTCGGACCCTAGAGGCACTGCGCGACCCCGCCCCCAGCGTTTTTTGTTTCCAAGCGGCAATTGCAAGGAGCCTCTGCGACTCGCCACTCGCCAGTGTATCCCAATGGCAGTTTGTTGTCTCCACCCCCCAGCCCCCATTTTTTTTTTTTTAACTTTTGGCCTTCTTTCCCGAAAGTGACGTGCATGCTCCCTCGGGGCCCTGGGTGCTCACACTCCAGGAGTGAACCGAAGTTTAGACAAGGATGAGAGTGAACCGAAGTTTAGACAAGGATGAGAGGTAGGTGCCATGGAATACTACGGAGGCTTCCTAGGCATCCTTTTCCTTAAAAAAAAAAAAAAAAAGAGAGAGAGAGAGAGATGATAGATAGATAGATAGATAGATAGATAGATGGATAGATAGATAGATGATAGGACACAAATCTCAAGCTGCAACCTCTTCAGCGCTGCCTTCTGCTCAGAGTGGGTCCCCAGCCCCTTGCTTGCCCGCCCCACCCCGGTCCAGGCGTAGCTCAGCCCCGGGGACCTCGCGGAGCTGGACCACACTGCAGCAGCTACCCCAGCACACAGAGGGCTCGCCCGCGGCAAATGAGACCTTGGTAGATGTGCCTAGTTTGTGCGCACCAGCCCAGTCCCTGCCTCCACCCCTCGTTTGGAAACAGAAGTCAGCAGCTCTGACATCCCCATTAAAGCCCGCTCAGGCTTCCCCTGGCCCACGGGCAGCCTGAGTGTGGCTAGGCACCCGGTACCCCTCCTCCTTGGGTTACAGTCTCTGGGCTCATAATTCCCCAGACAAATGTTAGAAACACCTTCAGCATTCTGGGCCTTTGTGCCCTCCTCCCCACTCCCAGACCCAGCAGGATTCCTGACACATTAAGCCAAGTTCATCCCTCCATTCAACAATACCTCCCCTCCCCCAGCCCCTGGCAGTCTCCCTTCTCCTTTCCATCTCTATGAATTTGACTACTCTAGGTACCTCCTAAGTCAGTGATGGCGAACCTATGACACGCGTGTCAGAGGTGACACGCGAACTCATTTTTTTGGTTGATTTTTCTTTGTTAAATGGCATTTAAATATATAAAATAAATATCAAAAATGTAAGTCTTTGTTTACTATGGTTGCAAAGATCAAAAAATTTCTATATGTGACACGGCACCAGAGTTAAGTTAGGATTTTTCAAAATGCTGACACGCCGAGCTCAAAAGGTTCACCATCACTGTCCTAAGTGGGACTGGCTTTTTTCACTCACCATCATGTCCTCAAGGTTTATCCATATTGCAGCATGAGTCAGACTTTCTTTCATTTTTAGGGCTGAATTATAGATCACATAGATCACATTTTGTTTACCCGTTCATCTGTTGATGGACATTTCGAACCTGGCTGTGCAAATATCTCCTGGATATTTGCTGCCCAGGAGTGGGGCTGCTGGACCAGGCAGGTCCTTTCAGTGGCACGTCAGTGTAAGCTCAGCTCCACTGAGCCGTCTGCTTCCAGGCCAGGGTCATAGCTCCTAAGATTTGTGCTGGAGCACAGTGATTAGAAGGCTGCAGCCTCAGAGCGCCACAGAATTGACACTGTGAAAGGGACCTTGGAGTCTTTTCACGCACCACGGAGAAAACTGAGCCCCACGGGTGAAGTCACTTACCCTACTGGCACTATTTGGTAGAAGGAGACGCAGGAGCAGAACTGAGTCTGTGAAAGCTCCCAAGTCCTGGACCCACACAGGGGTGGGGCTCAGTATGGTCTCAGACCTACCAGGCTGGGGGTGTCAGGGAGCCCAGAGCAGGGGGTGGTGGCCACCCCAGTGCAGAATTCCACTGTTTAGTGGCCACAGCCCCGCCCTTGCCTGATAGGAGTAGCCACACAGCAACTGTTGCTGTTACTGTTCATCTTTTCCAAGTGAAGGGAAAAGGCAGAGATGCCTTATGCTCCTAACAACCTCCTCAAGCCATCTTCCGCACGCGCCATGAAAGCACTGGTCCACCTTCATGTCAGCTTCTGGGGGTGCGAAAATGCATCTGTAATCCACACACCAACCTTGGATTTGCTGGCGTTTTTTAGAGTATTTATACAGACACACGCTAACACGATTGTGTAAATCATTTCCTCTGTGTATCAAGTGCAAAATGCATGATAATACCGAGTGTATGAGTTCTTCTCTCATAAAATGGAAGATTGATTTGCTTATACACATTCTGCAAGCTGATGAAAAAGCTGGTTTTATACACATAGCTCTGGCTGATGAACAAATTAGACATTGAGAAATAAGATGCAAATGAGGAGTTTACAGACACTGTTGAAATTATATAATTGTCTCCCACATCATGTGAAAATCAAGCAATGATTTTGAATGGATTGATGGAGGCAGTCGGAAGGGGGGCTTCAGTAATGCTTACCAACTTTATTTCTTCTCATCACATTGGGCATATATTTTTGAAAGCGTCTTTACACTTGAGCTTTTTTGTTTGCTTTATAGATGATCTGCTACAATATCTTTGGGAGTTTTGTTAAACTTCATAATTTACTACCTTTGGGAAACTGCTGCTTTTGATGTACCCTCTCAATGCACACAAAATGACAGCAACCCAAAACTGCTGTTCTGTTCTTCAATTGTCGCTTGGTTTCCAAATATAGATTCAGTTTAAATATTTATCAAATCGCTGCCAAATACTTGGCTAGGCACCTTTTGACCTTATCTCATTTAACCTTGGAGACCTTGCCTGGCAGGTTTGGGAGGTGGTGGTTTGCCCAAGGCTACTGCCAGAAGTGACACACCCAGAATTGAAAGCCCAATTTTCTATTTCCCCAGTGTAAGCAGGCATGCCTTCCATCCTAAGCACATCCTAATTTTAAAAACACAATAGCATATTTCATCAGCGTGATCCCAGACACATTTCTCTGATACAGAAGACAAGCCCATCACAAAACGTGTTCAGGTCCACGTGCGTGGTGATTGTGCTGTTTCCTGTGTAACTGGAGGGCGCTTTTCCTGCCCCGACCTTGCTCTTTTATTGAAAACCAAAGCAGGGCTATGGTCTAAAACCAAAGCAGTTTCTAGAAGTCCCTTAGAAATGAGTGCAATCCCCATTTCTTTCCCTGAAAAGGCATTGATCTGGGACTCCAGGGGTTGTGCCATTATCCTGCCCTGCCTTGTCACTCCCAGGGTAAAATGGCCTCGGTGGGGTGAAGTGGGTGCTCTAGCCAATTCTTCTCCTCCAGACCTGGAGCAGAACATGAAGTGATCCCCGACTTCTGGCAGCAATTCTGGCCCTGGGCAGGTCACCCGCCTCCGCTTGCCAGCTGACTGGACCACGGCCTGGCTTGCTCTCGGCCAAGCCGAGATTCTGGAAGCGATGATCGGCCCAACCGGTCTTGTGCTTGTGACGCCAGCACGCCAGACCTGTGCCCAGCACCTCCAGATGGCCCTTCTTCACGGATCAGATAACAGAGACTCAAAGCTCGCCTGGAGTCACCCAAAGGTCAATGGCTGAGGTAGCTGTAGGACAAACTCTTCAGGCCTTGGTTTCCTCACCTGTAAAAATGAGCCACTACAAACGCCTACTGATACAGTGTTATGATTATGTTTCCAGATATTGACCCCACCCGCAATCTTATTAGTCACATCAGTTTCTAATTTAATTTACACACATGCAATTACAATGTTTAATGCCCTTTTACATTTGTTCTCAAGCTCAGTGTACATCTGAGTTTAGTTAAATGTGCCCTCTGCAATCATTTTATTTTTCAGGATATATACATTCATGGGCTTTGTCAGGTTTAGCATAATAATAGGGCCCATTAACTAGTCAACAAATGTTTATTGAGCACCTGCTCTTTGCAAGGCAGTGCGCTAGAGATTTGGGACTGCGGTTAATGAAACAGGTAAGTCACTTCCTTCTCAGAGCCATCAGGGTGGGCGGAGGGTAAGTAAATACTTTCTCATCACTAATTAACTCATTTCAAGTGTGTGCTCTAGTGGACTTTCGCTAAGTTAACACTTTGCATCAGCTTGGTGTCTTCGGCCCAAGGGTCTCGGCCAGATTTCCGTTTTCCTTCCCCGTTGGTGCATGAGTTTATTGCCCTGTGGCACCTGAACTTCCCTTTGACCTTGACCTTCATGGGCGAGATGAGCTGAAGCTCCAGGAACAGGCTCAAGGAGCTGAAGCTGGTCAAGTGTTGGCAAATAACAGGGCCATTTGTTTGTTTTGAAGAAAGGAAGTAAATATTTATAAAAGAATCGCTTCAAGGCTCTGTGGGAAGAGAGGGGAAGAGTGAGAGATCCTGTGATAAGTATTCAGACCTAAAACCTAGAGAGAAAATCAACATGACTAATGGGAACAATCCCATTAAATGTTAGTATATGAAGTGGTTTTTAAAAACTATATGACATTTTTTCCCATGAAAAAAAACCAGTAAAATCTACACTACTTGCACAAAACTCTAGATACAGATTTTTTTGGGAGGAGTGGGTATGGAAGATGCTGAGATTGGGGGTTGGGGTAACAAGCAGCAAAGCTCAAGGTTTCTCCCACAGGCACAGGTGTGCAGATGGGGTAAGAGTGGGTTCCTAGTCTTGCCATGCTTGCTGCAGCAGCCTCCCCGACAAGTTCTGGTCTCTGGGGCACCACGTGTCCTCTCAAGCAGAACCCCTCTGGCCGCACGGGCTGTCCAGCACTGCCTGGCCAGGATATATCGAAGGCCTACAGAGCACAGATGTGGCAAAGGACACATTTGCAGGCACCTTTCTCTCTTGCTTCATGTGGGGAGCCGGCACGGCCATGGCATACTCATGCCAGCTCAGCCTGGTTCAGTGACCCTGAGTGGGGGTGATGAAAGGCTTAGAAAAGACAGACAAGAGAATGAAAGCTGGGTCTCAGTGGGACGCTGCCCCTCTGATGGACAGCGCCAGCGCCCACAAGCCGTGTCTTTATTTTATAGCAGATGCCACGAGGCAAAGTAAGGGTGTGATCAAGATGTTTACAACATTCTCATGGGTTTCAATCCTACTCAACTACATGCACCTGAACTCTATCACTCAGGCACGTGGGGCCACGTGTTCAGACCACAGGTTCAAGCTTACAACTCTAGCTGTTGGCTATAATTGTGCTGGGAAGGCTCTGCCCTCCAAGCTGGGACTTGCATGCAGCAATGAGAGGACAGTGCCCTCTCCTCAGTCCAAGGCTTGAACCTGTCCAAACACTGTAGCCGTGCCCCATAGCTTCAGAGGGATCAGCCCCTGTTTGTGTGGGGCATTTTATCATGGTGATGGGGTGGGCAATGGGGACCCAACTGGGTGGGTTTGGGGAAGGTGATGCACTGTGAACTAATTTGGTGAATCTGGCTTCTTTGAGCTCAGCCTGAGCTCTTGCATCACCTGTTGCCAAGGTGCTGGAGATGTCAAGAGGCCAAACATGCTCCTAGAGATTCCCTAACTAAACAAACCTGCCTTCATGATGCCATCCCAGGGTCCCAAGGAAGCTGGGAAGGTCCTCCTGGTGGTGGCATTAGTCAACCTAAGGTCCAACAAGGTTGGAGGTGGGAGAACCTGAGAGGGGATTGTTGAGTGGCAGGTGTAGGTCTAGAACGGAAGAGCTTGTTCCCAATTGGTTTCAGCTGAGCTCATATTCAGTGACGGTCACCGATGACCCACAGAGCAGGTTGGGATCAGTTTCCAGGCCTCACTTTGGAAGTCTAGCCTCCCCTACCCCTCTGTTCTGTTGACTTTCCCCCGAACTCTGTTAAACGTGCACAGCTCATGTTTGCTTCCCACACACCACACTGGCTTTTCTCTAGAGAAGTGGCTGGTGTGGTCCTTGGGCTCCGATGGTCCAGGAGCTTCCCTACTGGGCAAGGCTGCTGCTATGGACTGAGTTGTGTCCCCCTCCCCGCAAGTTCTTATGTTGAAGCCCTAACCCTCAGGGTGCCTGTGTTCGGAGATGGGGATTTTAGGAGGTAGTTAAGGTTAAATGAGGTCATAAGGATGAGGTCCTAATCTGATAGGATTGGTGTCCTTATAAGAAGAGGGTGATCTCTCTCTTTGCCTCTCTCTCTCCCTCTGCCATGTGAGAACATCGTGAGAAGGTGACCATCTATGAGCCAGGAAGAGAGCTCTCATCACAACCCAACTATGCTAATCAATACTCTGATCTTGGACACCCAGCCTCTAGAACTGGGTGAGATAAGTTTCTGTGTTTAAGCCACCCAGTCCGTGGCACTTTGGTTTCGCAGCCAAGCTGAGACAGCTACTGTCTTCACAACTTTGTGGCTTCACCCTTGTCTGATTCATTCCTCTCAGCAACTCACAGGCACGCAATACTATTACAACCCGCCAGGAAGCAAGGTGGCAACCTGTTCCAAAATGTTCATATCCTTGGTCTGGTGACTTCCATCCTGTATACTTTTAGGGAGTAATTTTACGAGAGGAAAAACTGTATACATTGAAGACGCTCATTGGAATAATTTCTTTCAGGTCAGAAGTATTCGACAATGTGAAGCTAGCCAAGAGCAGGAACAGTAGTTAACTCTGCAAAACCTGAGGCATTACAACTACACGTTACAAGCATGCAGAGATGTGGAAAATATATGTTCTATCATATGGTTTAAAGAGGCAAAATGCTACATTTTAGAATGTTTTAATTCAAGATGAGAAAAACATATATCTATGCGAAGGAAGTCAGGAAGAAAATAAGCCCAAATAAAAGGAGTTCACTTAGGGTGGTGGGATGTGAGGGAATCTGAAAAATTTGAACATTTTCCCTTATCCTTGAAGTTCCATTGTTTCCACGGAGAACAAAACAAGGCTTGTACTTGTCAGCTTACGTCCTCATCAGCGCCAGCCTGTAGCCGCCCGGGGTGGAGTGTCCACAGGAGGCCTTCCATGCCATGGTCCCAGGGCCTGGACTTTAAGACAGAAGAGCACGCGCACTTTTCGCAGGCACCGCGTCTGCCCAGCAGGTGACTGCCCCAGCTGCCTGCCAGTCTGCTCTGCACCTTTCCATAAGCCTCACCTGAGTTCTCCTCTGGTTAATAGAAAAACCTCCACGCAGCCCCAAGACCAGCTTCAGTTTTCCGTGGCTTCCCACCAGCCGGCTGCTCTCTCACCGGGTGTCACATGATTTGCCCTTGATGACAACATTCCCTGGAACCAGATCCTTCTGTGAGTCAGAGCTGGATCCCCTCGCCAAGTATCCGGTGGCTGGAGTTAGGTGACACCTGGCCTGGCGTTTTGACATTGAGACATGGGGAACCGGGTGCTCTGGCATCCCCTGGCCTGCTTTCAATGTGTGCCCGGCAGTTTCACCTCGTAGCCTCTGAACGCATCCTAGTCCCTCTGTCTACCTCACTCGGGCACATACTGTGCTTGGGAATTAAATTTAGGCAAGAAGTGATGACTATGTTCCATTTACATAGCACTTTTACCAATTTTTGATACTATTTCCTTTCTAATATAAATGAATGAGTGCATGTATGAAAAACAAGCACAAAAAGGTCTAAAAATAAACAAGACCCCAGCCCCAGTTCCACTCACTGGGAGGAATTACTAGCAGGTGTGCGTACCCTGTGTCCATGTATATTTGCATATAGGCAGCAGAATCTCTACATCTCAAAACAAACCCAAGTTAGGATCGTACAGTGCACTGTTCTAGCCTAACACTTTTCACTTAATTACATATCTTCGGGATCTTTACTTATCCCACATATGTTTTTAATGGGTGCATGGTATCTCGCTGTATGACTACAGCGTCGTTTATTTCAATAGACCTTTTCATAGACATTCAGATGTTTTAAACTTGTTTTCCTGTAACAGATAATGCTGCAAGGGATCCTTAGTGCCTATATCTTTGTGAGCAGTTGCAAGCATATTTGTTGTTAATGACGGAAATACTGGGTCAAAGGTGATGTGCAGTACAAGTTTAGATTTCTGCTGACAAACTGCCGACGATGCAGGAACCGACCAGCTTCTCCACACTCCGGCCCAAGCTGCATGAGAACTTTACATTTTTTGCCAATGATGGTTGAAGAGTGGCCTCTTCCATTATTTAATGATGGTGTTACCATCATTGAATTGATGTGTCCTTAATGATGAGTGAGGTTAAACATCGTTTCATGTGTTTGTGGGCCATTTGCATCTTTGGTTTTATGAAATGCCTGCCCCCCCACCCGCCCCACCATCACATTTTTCTGTACGGCATTCATCTTTCTCTTATTTTATTAAGGAACTTAGCTCTCTATCTGTGGGTGGATTATAAATCTTCCCCTGGGTTTTCATAATGTGAAACTTTGGTTATGAGGTTATTTTTGATACAGAGAGAATTTTTCATCCTTACTTTGTGACTGGAACCATTTTTCTCTGGTTTCTAGTTGTTTTTAGATATTTCTACATGCCAAGATTTTAAAATTTATGTTTGTTTTTCTCCTGGTGCTTTAATTGGGTGCTTACATTTAGACATGTGGACCATTTAGAGTAGCCTGTTTAATATAAATTTCTGTGACGATGGTATGTTTCGTGTTGACCCATACGGTAGCCGTTAGCTACAGAGGTTTCTTGGGCACTTGAAAGATGCCTAGTAAGTATTTACTCTTATTTAATTTTAACTAATATAGATTAAGTGGCCGCACATGGCTAGTAAGTACTGCATTGCCAGCCACACATCTAGAATTTATTGTGGTGTTACGATAGCAGTAAGGATCACTTCCTCTGTCCCCCAAATGCCTCACCAGTTGTCCCAATGTCAGCTCCTTCCCCAGCCCTCTCCCCTGGCTTTGAGATGTCCCCATTGTCATCCGCTCCATTGCTGTGTGCACTGGAGTCTATTTTTGGACACCCCGCTGGGCCTTGTTGATTACCCGGAACCTTTGTGTCTGCAGAGAGCTTTCAGAGCTTCTCTGGTTACAGCATCTCAGCGCAGAGGACTATTTAACAGGAGCACTATTCCTTAGCTTCGCATGGAAGGTGGAAATTCGTTCCTTGCTATTTCCTATATTTTCCACCCCATTCTATTTCAGCTTTAATATTTAACATTTAGTATTATGGCAGAGAACACAGAGAAGCAGCTAAGGGGTGATATGTGCGATTTTAAGAACTAAAGTGCACACCCCACGCACACACGTGCACACACACAGATTTTCCTAAGATTTCTTGGGCAGCCAGCCCAAGGCAAATGGGGCGGGGCTGAAGTTCAGCCTCAGCGCCTTCAGCTGGGCATCCCAGGCCTTCCCATCCCATCAGCAGTTATTCCTCACCAGTCTGAGCTCCCCACCCTCCCCACCACTACAGGGAGGATGGGGCAACCTCCTGGCACAGAGCCCCAGGGTTCTCCCCCAGAAGGTGTGCAGTTCCCCTGGGGACACGCTCTCTGGCTTATACCACCATTCCGAAGGGGCCAGGCATTGGGGGTGTTAGGCCATCCAAGAACTTTGGTTTCTTAGATTTGTACCCAGTATGTTGGGTGGGTGAGCTCCAAGGGGAGCAATCTGGACTTTTCTTCCCTCCAACCAGCTCACCGCAGCTCCCTCCCCTGCTCTCCAGGACTCCTCCTGGCAGGGCTTGGCCTGTTGGTGTTGCCTGTCACAGACTCACTTCCTGGGATTAAATGATGCAGACCAGTCGAATACCGAAACGTCCATCTCATAACCAGGGCTCCTCTAGCTCGAACTTGGAGGGAGAGGTTCTTCTACTCAGCCCTCCTGTCTGAGACGTCCAAGGTCGGGGTGGAAGGGACAAGCAGAGAGGAGCAGGTGTTCTCTGCTGCTCGCTCTTGGCCGTCAAAGCTCTTGGTCGTGACAGCTGCCCAAAGGCTGGTTCTTTGTCGCACTGGAGGTGTCCGCTCTTCGAAGGGCCTGCTCTCTGCTGAGTTATTGTAACCTTCCTCAGCTCCTGGCCCAGGGGTCCACCCCACAGCCACTTACAGCTGAGGTCCCCATGGCCTGCGAGGGTGGGTGCCCATAAAGTTGGCTCTATCAGGCAATCTTTTCAACATCCACTTAGCCAAAGAAAAGTCAGGTATTCAAATCGCACCCTATGTTGGGGGTCTGCACAGCGGTGTGGCCGCCCTCTGTCCCAGCCCCGCCAGCACAGGTGCTCTGTCAGTCCCATCTCACAGCCTTCCCACGGGGACAGGTTACAGTCCCCCCAGCCTCCCGGCGAAGCTCCAGCCCAGAGCAGCTCAGCCACCGTTCAGGTGGGAGGGGACACAGGCACCCACTTCTCTAAGGAGGGTTGTTTTGGAGCCTGTTGGGGATGGGGGTCATAGGGATCACGTTAGCACCCTCCCCCACTCCCACAGTTTGGCAGTTCTCTATTTCTATCAATCATCTCCAATTAGCTCTCATCTCTGCCTCCATTGCCTGATTACCTATGGTGGGGGTTTGAGGATGGCAGGACCCACTCGTCAGCTCAGGATCAGCCGTGGGGGTATGTCCTGAAGCTCTGCACTAAACCTGGGGTTACCTATTTCCTGTCCTCAGGAGGGGGACCGTCCCTGAGATTCTCAGACGACAGAGACAAGGGTCATATATAGGTGGCACGGAGCACCTCCGTCCACTGCTTTTGAATCCTTCTAATTCCATGCCCCTCCTCCCTCTCAGCCTTTTAGCTAGTTCTTTCTCAGAGCTTCCAAGATTAATTTAGAACAAAGCACTAGGACAACAGTAAAATAAAAGAGAAATGAAAAAGGTTGGCAGGTACTGCGATCCATTTTGAAGTCCTTTTTGGCTACTGGGAAGGCCTCTCCCTCTGGCAGAAGCCGGCTTAGCATCCTCTGTTCCAGCTCCCATGTATGGGGACACACATGTGACAGGAGGAGTCCCACCTGGCCGAAGCGGCAGCTCGGGGGGAGCCAACCTGTGAAGTCCAGGCCCAGGCAGCAGAGACGGCTCGCCATGCTTAGCTTAGCTATAGGGCCCTCCAGGGGAACAGGCAGAAATTGCGCTGTGTTCAGATAAGAGGTATTTAATGAATAAGAAATTTAGAGAAGACGCGGTTTGGGCTCCACAGTGCACAAATTCCACAGTCCGTGGCTACATAGGGACCACACCGCCCTCTGGGGCCCAATCGTCCTGTACTGAACCACAGTGAGCACAGCGAGACTCGAACAAGGGCCCCGGGAAATTGGTACCATCAGCTTCCACTGCTGTCAATGAGAACTTTTCCTCATGAATGAAAAACGGAGACTTAGTCTCCTTGTGCCAATGCTGAGTTTTGAAAGTCAGGTTGGAGGGCGTTTGGTCTGGTATTTAAGTACCAGTAAAAAATCTATACCTGGAGCAGGCCTGACCACTCTCCACGCTGGGCACCTGAGCAGGCTCCATTCCCATGCGCTCTCCAAGTCCACGTGTTTCAGCCGTTCTCTCCAGTGGAGCAAGTGCTTGTGTGACCTGCATCCCTTGAGCTATTGACAGTGAGCTCCCAAACGAGTAGAGGCAGGTGGCAGGAGATGTGGCTTTGAATCCTGGTTCCAGGTGTACTTTTGAACCCCTTTGTAAAGTACTGAAAGTGGTAGCTTAAAACCACAAAAATTCACTCTCTCACAGAAGGACAGAAGTCTAAAGTCCAGTTATCAGCAGGTAGCTTCCTTCTTGGGGGCTCAGAGGTCGAATCTGTCCCGTGCGTCTCTCTTAGCTCTCAGCAATCCTGGACGTCCCTGGGTTTGTGGACATATCACTCCCATTTCTGCCTCTTCACACATCACGTTCTTCCGTGTGTCTCTGTGCCTCTGGTCCTCTTTTTATAAAAACACCAGTCACATAGCATGAAGGGTCCACCCTACTCCATACATCTTCACTTCACCTGCAAAGACCCTGCTTCCAAATCAAGTTGAAGTCACAGGAACTGGGGGTTAAGACTATCAACCTATCTTTTGGAGGCACAATTCAACCCACAACA